ACTCTCCTTGTCAAAAGAATGCACTACCACAGTGACTTTTCGAAGGTTTGTGGTGTTAAATTGCTGGACTTCTGTCAACATGATTTTGGCCACCAAATCTTTAGGAAAGCCAAGATTTCCAGTGCCGATAGCTGGGAAAACTACTGAAGTCATACCTCGGGTTTCTGCTTCTCCCAGACAATCTTTAATGATCTGAACGAGGACCTTCAAAAATATAATTTTTTTTGCAATTGCTATTAGTATGTTTTGAAAACAATTTTTTAACTAAGCGAACATAAATTACCATCCAAAGAAAATGTAACAATTTACAGTTCGCAATTACTACATTGCTTTGTATATCTATAAAGTTCATTTGAATTCAATATAAAAATATTATTTCTGAGAACCAAAGATATGAATGAATGAAATATGAATGTGGTAAAATAGGCCTCACCTTATCTGGTGAGTTTTGTCCGCCATGCCAAAATGGGCAAACAACATGAAAGACTTTGGAGCATTTCAGTTTATAACCAGCTGTGATGACCAAATCACCATAACTCAGACCACTAGAGGGAGCAGCTCTGCTGATTTCAGACTGGAGCTGATGACCGGCACACTGAAGGAGCGCATTAGAGACCGCACCTTTACTGAGATCCATGTCATGCGATATAGTGTTGACGATGACATCAGCCTGCAGGAGAAAAAATAGAGAATCTTCTAGAGGGAGCAGAAACTTATACTTTTTAACAAATTTTATGCTGTGTTGCTTCTCAGGTACATTTGATGTGATTTAAAGAGCTGTCTTTATGTTTTCAGAAATAACTTTACATGTGCATGTTACATGTTTAACTTACACTTGCATCCTGGATGTTCCCTTTGCTCAGAATGATTTTTAGTCCATCTTGTGTAGTTTTTGACTCAAGAAAGGTCAACTCTTCAGAATTATCGGATCTACCACCAGACCATGAGTTTGATTGTTCTTTAAAGTCTCTATTGCCACGATGTGTAGGACTTTCAAATTGTTGATTTCTTTTAGTACTGTTTTCATGACCATGACCATGAACACGACCACCTCCACGATGTCCATGCTCATAGTTACTATACTCATGAGGTTTGCTTTGATGAGGGAAAGCCATTTTGGGGTTATAAGCAGCAAACTCATTTCTGACAGCTTGAGCCATGGCATTCACGTTCTTGCTATTGTTGTCCACCAATTGAATCTCAGTCAGTGTGGAATTGGAGCCACTGTAGTTATGATTTTCAATGTATTGACGCACCTCTTTGGCGATTGATTCAGTGCAAAGATCAAGAGGACAACCAAATATTCCTGAGCTGATCACTGGAATTGCAATGGAGGAGCATTTTTTGCTTGATGCCTGGTTCAAACTCTCCCTCACAGCACGTCTCAGGCATTGTTGCACAGCTGTACGTTGGTCTAAAGCACCGAATCGGGGTCCAACAGCATGCACTACATATTTACATGGAAGACGGCCAGCGTCAGTAATAATGGCATCTCCAGGAGTCAGAGGTCCATTTACCTTTATGTGTAGGTCACAGTATTCCTGCAGACATCGTCCTGCAGCTTGGAGAAGTGCGTAAGCTACACCACCTGTATGCTTCAGATCTTCATTAGCAGCATTGACCACAGCATCAACACTGAGAGTGCAAATGTCTGCCTTCCTGACAGTTACTGTTACTCCACCAGGCATTCGAACCTCACAAGAGGCCTGGCCAAAATCTCCAAAATTACCTTCTTTTGGTCTATCCTCATCCTCTTCCAGCATATGATCTTCTTGAAGCACCACCACAACTCTTTTGTCCTTTAGCAGCATTAAGAGCATCATTTTGCCCTGCTCCTTGAAGTACTTCTTTGCTCCTGCCTTTTTAATGGTCAGTGTATGTGTGAGAAGAGATTCTGCTAACCCTTTGAAGAAAGTCACAGCTGGCTGAACAAATATGCGCTGTCCAGACAGTTTAATCCGGGGTCTTTTTGGATCAAAACTCACTTTAATCTCACCAGACTTCATAAAACGCTGCCAGTCTTGTGATTTTCTGTCTTCTATGAATTCAACTGCTGCATGCGATTTAACACGAACCATTTCTTCAATTCGAGTGTGTTTCTCAATGAAATGTTCTAAGCTCTCACTGACCTCCATCACTGGTTCTCTGAATCCAGTCACTATCACTTTGTCTCTCTGTGAAACGTTTATGGACACAGTTCTCTTTTTGGAGGTGTTGAAAATTCTAGTAGTTGTTTTTTGAGATCCTGCCACTCTGGCATTTGAAGAACACTGTGATCTTCTACAAGGAGGGCTTTGGATGTAAGTACTGTATTCAGCCTCTTCTCTGCTTCAGCATGTGCTTGTTCTGTGCTCCCAATCACAACAACATCTCCATTTTCAATAGTGTAGACAGCAGATATTCTATGAGATAAAAACAGATCTGTGGACATTTCATCACAATCAACTGATTTCAGGAAATCCAGGACTGGGTGGCTGATGTTCAATGGTTTCATTTTCATACTTAATTTCTTTTCAAGGAACCAATTCTTGAACAAGAGAATTTCTGTCTGAAGACCTGACAAAACTAAAGTGCTTAGTTTTTGATTGTACTCAATGCGCAATTGTGGAGAAACCACTTTCGCACTTTTCAGGCCATCTTGTTCAAGCAAGGAGTACATGGCAGGAGACATCTCTATGTTCTCGGTCACACTGTTCTTCTCTCTCTCCAGTTGATTTGTTGCTCTTTCCAAAATTTTCTCCATGATGGGCTTCAGACCAATTATCTCATGGCTCATTCCTGCCAGAGTCAGAACCCCATTTGAGACATCCATATCTGTGTAAACCTGATCTTTCACCACTGTTTTAACATCAGTCTCCACTTTAGACCACAAAGCATGTGACACCGGCCACTCAGATGTTGTGTAGTCTGAGATAATTTTCTTGAAGGCATCTAAAGCATTCTTACTCCAGCCATCAATGTGTCTTCTGCTGACTCCTTTCTGTTTCAGTAATGCTGGATCAGGACTGAGCAAAACATCAGGTTTATCCATGTTAATCAGACAGAAGTGTGAACTCATTTTATCTTCAATAGAGGAAACCTGCCCTTTCTTGAGGAGGAACTCCCTGATGGCAGGATGTACACGGACTGTAATGGGTTCAGGAATCTTAAAATGTGGCCTGTTGCCACCATACAAGACTGTATCCAGTGATTTAAAGTAAGGATATATCTTAACTGGAACATCACAGATGTTATTCTCCTGCTTCAAAACTCTCTCTCTGGCTGTCAAGAATGAAAGTTGCCGTCAAAAGAGAATCAGTGCATTGTTCATGAAAATATGGTAAATTGCACAAATGTGTATGTATTTACCTTCTTCCTCTTTAAATGTAATTATGGCTGCTTGTTCTGATGGAATTGTGATAACCTCATCTACTGGACCACCCAATTTCTCAAAATACAGTTCAAGAAGCATTTTTTTGTTGTTGACCTCAGCTGGAAGATTCTCCACCCGCACACATGTACTTCTCTCCAGTGCACGGGCCTTTAGATTGTTCTTCTTGAACTTTTTATGTGTCTCGCTCTCTTCAAGGAACTTTTCTGCAGCTGTAAAAAATTATTTTAATTATTATTTTACAGAATGGGCCAGACACATTTAATTACATTTACAATCTCCTCCTTCTTTTAGAAAAACACCATTAGAGAGCTCTAAAACATGAAAAAATAAAACACAAGTATGTGCAATATGAGTACATTATGATGAAAAATACATCTACAGTATATGTACTTACCACTGGGATTTTTAAAGGTCACGACTGCTTTGCTTAGTTCTGGTATAAATTCGACAGTAAAGTCATTCTTAGTTAGAGTGGTGATGTTCTCCACAAAAAGAGTCAATACATCTTCATTAAAATCATCTGGAAGGTTCTCAAGGACTACAGCACTTGATTCTTCTGTCTTCTTCTCATCCAACTCAATCTGAAGGGAAGTTTGAGCTTCAAGCAAAATACACATTTATTATTAAATGCCAGAGCAGCAGTGTGAATGCATTTTTTTAAGCAAATAAAATTTTTTTTTGTATCATTTGCACTGCTTAATATCATTACCACTGAAATTGTATGTGCTGTAGAAGTACTTCCACACTAACGGGACATTCTATAACGCTTAACGTGAAAACAGCTTAACATGGCTTAATGTACCTAAACATAAACCAGAGAACCCCAAATTTCTGTCAAATTGTACTTGTAATTAACCCCAACTACTGTAAAAAGAATGAGTCCCAATTCCATAGATAAAGTGAAAAACAGCACATTAAGCATTTTCTCCCCCATTAAAGTCTATTATAAGGAAAAAGCTTAATGTGGCCTAAAGTACCTTAACAGTAAGCGGGGAAAATCTAATTTCTATCAAATTTTACTCATGACAAATACTTTGTGATGTCAAAAAAATGAGCTCTAAATTTAGTGAGTTTAAATGGTCATGTTTTAAGTCCATTATAAGGAAACAGCTTAACCTGCCTTAACGTACCTTAACACTGACCAGGGAAACCCAAATTTCTGTCCAACTTTACTTGTGATTAAAACTTAACTATTGTCAAAAAACAAGCCCTAATTCCATAATTAAAGTAAACAATATCACGTCAAGCTTTTTCCACTGATTGAAGTCTATAATAAGGAAACGGTTAACATAACTTTACAACAACCGAGAGAACCAAATAATAAAAAGGCTGTTCATAAAGTCAAAGTTAGGGTTAATCACAAGTAAAATTTGTTAGAAATTTGATTTTCCCCGCTTGTTTTTAGGGTACATTAAGCCAAGCCTTTTCCTTATAATAGACTACAATGCGGGAGAAAACACTTAATGTGCTGATTTCACTTTGACAGAAATTTGGGGTTCTCTGGTTGATGTTTAGGTACATTAAACCACATTAAGTTTTTTCATGATAAGCGTTTTACAGTAGAATGTCCCACACTAACAATAAAACAACCTGACCAATAAAAAAGGGCATGCATGCAAACAGTCAGAGATCAAAGTCCAGATAATTGACTTACTTGGGTCCTGATATCCACAGGCCTGGTCAGTCTAAAACCACACAAAATTAAAACATTTACATGTATGCCAATTAAAGATATGCTACTAAACAAATACATAACATTTTGAATAATACAGAAAAATGCTAACCAACTTCCTCAAAATGCATCTACACATCAAAACCTAAATTAATTTAATAATAAACAGTTTTACATAGTCACAAACAGAATTTGGTAAAGCTACTTTGACTTTACAAGCATTGTGGTTTACAATGGCTTATTTTAAATATGGCTTAAGTCTACTCACACTTAGCACAGTACTGTCTGCTTGTTCCTGTCCATCGCTGGGTTTGTAAACATTCAACTTAATTTGCAGAGTTTCGATCGTAACAACATGCGCTTCTTGTGAAAGTACTGCATCCCGGACTTAAACACAAACAACATATAGCAACTTAGTGAGATGCATCACTACACTTTAAAGCATAGAACATAAAACAGGACTGTTTTGCATGTTTCACGTTACGTAATATTCATCAGGTGATTAACTAGAGGCCTGTACGTTTTTAGAGTTAGTCCCAATTACAGACTCGAATATACAATCATTAATAGTCAGGGATTGTTTTAGAGTCTGTATGTTAGGCTTAGCCTGCATTGTTTGCAAGACTTAATTAGTTTATTCAAATGCCTAATAACATTTTAACTACAGATTTTCTAAATGTGCTACAAGTATTTGTACATGAAAGTACATTAAGTTTATCGAGAGATTCATTACATTATGACTAGTCTACTCAACGACACAAAACTTAGCCCATTATACTAATACTTACTGTCAGATGACTTGAACAGAATCGTGGCAGAGTTGCTCTTGTCGTTAAATTTCACGACGCAGTCTCCTCCCTGAGATTTCTTCTTACTCTGAAAGTGAATCTGAAGTTTATTTTTTACAATTTTAGCATGTTCAGGTCCCCAGTCCCCCTCTACAACGATGGGATATTCTTCCATCGTCCTTCTTGTTGAGGAAATAAGTTGCGAGTCACTGTAAGCGCACGCCCTCTTGCTTATTTCCACTTTCGATTCTGCGTCAGTTTCGAGTGAAACCAAGACTGAGGCTGTTTTGTGTGCACCTTAGCAATAAATAAATAAATTGATTCTGCCTCCAAAATAACTTCGGAAACTCGTTTATTCGAACGGCATATTCAGTGTTTTAACACATCAGGCTTTAATGTTAGATAGTTTCCCTAACAAAACAAAATACATATTTCAAAAAAAGAAAGAAAGAAAAAGAAAACATAATTTAAATATAAAATGATCATTTTACTTACATAGTTTAAAAATTAAATGTTTGTTTTAGATTTACAATATTAAACAAACGAAAGTACACTAAAATGTCATTAGCATTCAAGTTATGGCTGCATTACAGCTTCTTGACCAGCAGGTGTAGACAGAGGCCGATGTTTAGAACGCTAGAAAACAATGAATTATTCTGTCAATAAGTTTTAATTTTAAATAAACAATACCTTAAAGTACTATTTAATTTTTTTTAAAATAGGCTTATAAAATCTGAAAATCCGGTTTGTGGAAATAATCATTTCTAGGAGGTGTATGAGGCTGTGTTTGCTGCAAAACAAAAAACCTGTACGTAGTTGGCATGTTCATTTTGTATAATTGTTCATTTTGTAAGCAACACAAGTCCCTAGTTCACTTATTTTGGCAATGCAGTTATTCTAATTTGCTTTAGAAAGATTTTTCTCTTTTTGTAATTGAGAAAGTAGATAGACTTTTCCTTACTATGGGAAAATGTTTTTATTGGTTTTGTTAATTTTAAAACAGAAGCTATAAACAAAAAGAAAATATATTTTCTTAATCTTCTTATCATATTAACAAAATTGTATATACATGAATGTAAATTTTCAAACAAAAAACCTTTTTTTATATTTTGCTTACTAAAATGCAGTATTACTTTGAATAATTAGTTTCAAACTCTTTTACAAAAAAGGCTTTAAAAACAACAGAAATTTGTAAATTATAAACTGTTTCTTTAATGTGTAATGTATATACCCCTTCTTTTTGTTTTTTGTTGTTTTGTTCCTTTTTTAAAAATGTATTCTTTTTGTCTTTCCATTTTCTTGTACTGTGATTTTATATTCAATTTTTTCGCATATTAATAATAATAAAAAAGGTGTACCTGTACTATTTGACTACTTTAATGTACACTATGACATCATCTACTAAATAGTACAATTAGGAAACATTTATAAAAACAACTATTGGGATCAAAATGAACAGACTATAAGTTCTGGATTTTTACTTTTCCCTCTTTTTCAACGTGTCTTCTCGTGACTTCTTTCTGTTTCAATAATGCAGGATCAGCACTGAGCAAAACATCAGGTTTGTCCATGTTTATCTTTCAGATGTGTGAACTCATTTCATCTTCAATAGAGGAAATATGCACTTTCTTGAGGAGGAATGCCCTGATGGCAGGATCTACACTGACTATAATGCCGGCATCTTCAAAAGTGACCTGAAATAATAATGTTGGTTAAATGTAAAAGAGATTTGCATTTTATTCATGAATACATGTAATAAAAAACTAAATAAAATTTAAGAGGATTAGCTCTCTGAGAATTCTAGAATTTCAGCCGAATACATAACTGAAGTTTTTATTTATGTAAAATAGGCATCGGCACACCAGACAGAGCATCAGTTTTTCCCACATCACCCCAGAACACAGGACTTCATTTTACTTAAATTTGAAGGTGATTATTTATTATAGATCTCAAGTGGAACATTTGCCAATTCTTATATTTATTATTAATTAATGGTATGTTTAATTTCTATCATTGTGCTCCTTCAATCCCCATAAAACAAACAAAAAACAAATTAACATTTATATGCATGCAGTACAAACTTGTTTCTTTTTTAAGTAAAATTAGATATAATATATAACATCAGAAAACTTCCAATTAGGGTGGTTAAAATGTCTGTTTTTTGCCATATACGAGGATTAACTTGTAACATTGTAATAATTCTGAAAGTAAATATCACTTATTCATAGATAATCTGCATCACTGAAACAGTAAAAGAAAACAACAACCCTAGGTTACAGAACTGAGATCTCTTAATCATTACTGGAAGGTGATCAGGTATTCTGGGTAAGCCTGTACATCATGGAAAATCACAAACATGGTTGGATTGTTCACATCATTAGTCACACTGTTATAGAGATCAGCACTACTGGAGCTCTTTGCAGGGGGAACAAGAAGACCTGAATTTCCTCGAGTGAAGTCACCAACCAGCACTTTGGCGAGGTACATGCGTTTATGTCCTTTGGCATCGGGTTTAGAGTAGCCTTTAGCTGAGTAACTCGGGTCCACAGCAAAATATGATCCTTTTCCATACATGGCACCTAAAAACAGAGCAATACAGCTGACACAATGAGAATGAATGCAAGAGAAAATTACATTCATGATGAATTTGACTAGTACCGTGCATCCCAGCGTAGCTGCGATTGAAGCCGTGATTGTTGATCAGATCTGTCGTATCTGAACCAGTGCCATGGAAAAGACGCCGCTCATTGTTTTTGTGCTGGTTTTTGTCTTCCAGTTCATTCATTTTTATCATGTAGTTTCTCCAAAGTGCACTGTTCTGGACTCTTTCAATCTAAAAGCAAGAATGTTTAGCTTAAAAAACTAGTACTAAAAACCTACTCCTAAAAAGTGATTAAGAGATTTCCCTTGTCCCCCAGTCTTACTTCAATTATTTTAAATGTTAGGCCAGTTCTCCTGAACTCTTTCTCTACTTCTGTATATTCCTTTGAACCTGCTTTGAGTTTCACAAGAATGACTGAATTTCCTTTCATGTTCTCCCAGTGTGAAGGCAAAGAGCTTTGGGATGCAGCCTCAGCTGTATCTACAAAGGGAAAAAGAAAAACATTAATACCTGATATTTGTACAGGATGACATTTTAATTAATATTTAAATAATAATCCCACCTTCCAGATCTACTCTATTCAATTTAATCCTTATTCCTCTTCTTTTGGCCTCTTTGCTAACTAAATCAGCCTCATATTCATCATTGTTAATCTTGATTTTCACTGAGGGCTGCTGATTCTGAAAGGCTTGTTCCAAGTCAAAATTGGTCAGCATGTCAAAGTTTTCGAATCTCTGCCCATTCTCCTGATACTGCCATTTAATTATAGTTCTGATCATTAATGCTTCACGTTTTTTGCTTTCATTTCTTTCCACCTTGCGGATCATGTCCCGAACCCGACTCTCTGCAGTGTGAACATCTCTTGTCAGACCCTCCATAGTAACGACAGAGTCTTGGCCTTTCCTCTCTAGTTTGATACTGACTGTGAGCTCCTTCTGCATGGCGTTCAGCATTTCTACATCCTCTCTGGTGAAATAAGCAATGGCTGGATCATGGATTGGGATGGTCAAATGCTCCCGTATTATAAAATTGTTGATCATTTCCTTGGCTTCACTCAGGTCCTGTGGTGTCTCTCCACACAGCTGAAACACAGCCGGCTCAATTTCTTCACCCACCATCACAAACTCTTCATTTGCGGAAGATTCTGAACTTTCCCCTAAAAAATAATCTTTTTTTTCCAAGGCCCATGTTTGATGAAAAAAGGAGAGATCAATAACTGTTCAAAAATTACAATATATAGGATTAGCAAACCTTAGAATTTTTACTGACCTTTAATTTTGGTGAACAGACCTTTTTCCTCTTCAACCTTCTCACCAGATCTTCTCACCATGCTTTGGTGAAAATCTGCCAGCATTTTTGGCTGGAATATAAGGAACTTCACGAACTTTACATGCACCGGTTTCTTCTTCTTCACAAAGTCAACAACTGCATCAACCATTGCATCTGCAACATCACCAGGTTCCGCACCACCCTGACCTAAATGTTTCACAACATTTCCCAAAAAGAAAAGAATAGTGAAGAATTTTGACAAATTGTTAGTTAAGTAAATAATCAAAACTTACTTTAACTATGGACCACGTGTTACCTGTGCCAAGAGCAGGGAAGGCAATGGAGGTAAACTGCTGTGATTCACACAACTTCAGAACAGACAAAACAACCTCTTTAATTGTAGATAGACCATTGCATCCAGAAATATGGATGATCTTTCCACACGGGAGTCGTCCGGATGAGGTCACAATTTCTCTAAGCTGCTTGTTTTGTGATGCCACTATTGAAAAAAAAGTGGGTTTACCAGCAAAATATAAAGTTCATTATATCTCATTAAGTAATATTCATCAACATAACAAAATATCAATTAAAATATAAAATATTTTATATATGTAAACGAACCAATTTGTGAACATTCATGTTCTACTTTTCCTCCAGCAGCATCTAAGATGGCCTTGGATACTCCTGAATTACAAAAATAAAAACAATAACATTATGATTCTCTGTGAATGAGAAATTAATAATGAATGAAGATTCAAATGAGCAGTGGTGGGTAAGTTACTTTTAAAAAGTTATCGATTACAAATTACTGATTACTACTGGAAAATTGTAATCTAATTACATTACTAATTATTTCATGTAAAAAGTAATCAGATTACTAATTACTTTACTTTGAAGTTACTTTAAAACATATAAAATATACCTATAAAAATGCAAAATAAACTGCAGCTCTTCCAGTAATTTAATATTAACTAAAAAACATTACATATGGATTGACCACAGCAGCTTGACATATTCAAAAGAGCTAAAGAAATAGTTTGCCCAAAACTTAAAATTCTCTCAACATTCACTTTTTCTAAACCCATTTGTCTTTTTTTTTTTAAACACAAAAGAAGGACATGAAGAAAACTGGATACCTGTAACCACTGACGTCCATAGTATGAAAAAGCACAGCAGTGTTTGAGTGTTCTGTGTTTGTCTGAGGTAATTAGTCTACCTAAATGTGTATATTCCTTACAAAGTATGAAGCTGATTGGCCAGTTCTTGTCATGTGACACACGGTTTGCAATGAGTGCGCCTTGGGAATTTTGAGCGCACACAATATGCGTTCCAATTATGCGCTCATATTATATGCGCGTGCGCAAAAGATGTGATATGTGCATAGACTGCAGTTTACAGCAATATTTTTGTTTTTACGTTCAATCAAATCAAAGTAATGTTTGCATTTCCACTTGAAGAAGCAGCCGCTCCCGACAACAACC